CGGGCACCACTTCAACGGGAATTTACTGACCACTTCTTCCCATCAATCTTTCCTGAACCACTACAGCGACTATGAGAGCCATACCATATGTTCATACATTGTATCATACATACTTGCCATTTTTGAAATAAATAATATTATCCCTATTAAGAGCACATTTAGGAAACTTAAGTTCCTCGTACTATTAAGAGTACGTTTATAATTTACGCACTGCTTAAGAGTACGTTTATAACATAGAGTCTAATGTGGAGGCCCGGCTTATTACAGCACCGGCGTTAGCTTCACCACAAGAGGATGCCGTACTAATACTACGCACGGGCGCTAGTAGGATGGGCTGTGGGGCAGCACTGTAAGTTACTAGAGCTGAAGGTGTAGTACCGGTATCCTTTGCATCGACACGTTGGAACTCAGCGCATCAATTGTATTCGATCACAGAGCTGGAGGCATTAGCTGTCGTCCGGGCTTTTGATTGCTGGTCAATTTTACATGATCATGATGGGCGACGCGGATACGTTATCTAGACTCGCCGGGATTGATGATGAGGCGGATACTGTGGTGATGACGTTGCTAGGTGACAAGGATGAACCAACCACACACGAGCTACTACTCGAGCTAAATCAGGATCTTGCTCACGTTGGATACAAGATATTGGCTGACTTTTATCGAAAGGTCACCAAGGAAGAAGTGAAGGAACAAGAATGCTGCAGGGTGATTCAGAATTGCAGGCCATGTGCACTGATATAACGAGACACGGCTCGCGGGTTGCCTGCTACTGAAAAAGAGGCCCGGTACTTCATACAGCGAATTCACGTAGATGTGTTCTATATTCGCGCAATCCGAAACAGGGCACTCGTATGATAAGTTCAAAAAACTGGTTGAACAAGAGTTTAGCCTCTGGTACGGCGAAGGATACATGGGAGGTGATACTTGCATATAACCGAACAGTTCATGTGGGATCGGAATGTTCGCCAATTGAACTAGTGATGTGGGGTCAAGATGGGACTTCACGGAAAATCTTGGATTTGGCTCACAAGAATTTGTGAGGGCACAAACTAAACGTATTGCAGATGCCACAGCTACTGCAACCGAGCTTGAGCCGCTCGAGGTTGGTAACATTGTGTGAAAGTATCGGGACTCCATACAACACATGGATCAGATTGCGTGGGTTGAGAAAAACTTGACAGTGGTCCGTAGGATGGGGATCATTACGATGTTCAGGTACGAGGTGGACGATCTGTGAGAGCCCATCGTGAACAGCGTAAGCTAGATGTCGGTAGCCAAGAAGACAGGTCCAATCCAGTACAAGTACAAGTTACCTTGAAGGTCTACTTGCACGCATTTAAATGGTTCCAGGCTATTGCGGAGCGGTTCGAACGATATATCGAAACCAAGTCTGGGGAGGTGTGGTTCAAATATACGTCGCAATTCTTGACCACACTGTATAAATATCGCCCTGAAACTTGGAAGGATTTGGACCCAGATAATGTTAAAGATGCATCCGTCAGTTCGTCAATGATGAGAACAATGGACGCCAGAAGCGCTTAGCACCGGCACATCCTTAGGCTGGAAGGCGTGTAGGAGTTTCGGGACTCCTATTGAACTTTCGAGACTCTTCGGTACCCTGTATTTTGGCAGATCCCGAA